ATTCATAGAAAATTTCCCTATGTATTATTTACCCGAGTAAGTGGTTCCCATCTCATAAGTAGGTAAGTAACTTTTCCACCAAAGGAGAGTTGCCAATACTTTGATAGGACAAAATTGATCCTTTTAATAATGACTTTTATGGTCAAAATAGTCATTGTCTTACTTACCTGGAAAATGAAAGATAGAGATGGCATTTTTCCCCATCCCTGATGGGTACCCGACTTCCCCAACTCGAGGATGGGGATTGCTTTAGTGGGGTGGGGACGGGGATGGGGATTAATAGGGATCCAGGTCCCCGCCCAGCCTCGACCCCGACTATATATATGAAATATTATTCATATTAAATATATATATATATTGTTATATATGATATTATTTATAATATTTATATATCAAAAATATTTAAAATGTTATTATATTTTAGTTTTCTATTTATTTTAAGTACATTTATTTTTCAGAAATACTACTAACTAAATAATTTCGAGGGATGGAGGATAACTTTTATCCCCGACGGGGATTTATTTCAAAATCGGGATCGAGGTAGAAAATATGATGCCTGCCTAGTTGCCATTCGCCCATTCCTAATAAAAGAAACATGAATAAATACATTTGGGTAAGTGCATATACCCAGATAAATAACTTACCAAGAAGGGAACAAGGCTTTAAAGTTAGGCTAGTTTGAACCCAACACAACCTAATGTCGTCTTGAATTCCGTCCATAAATCAAGGTTAGATTTTTTGAGATCTTCTATATCCATGTTAAGAAACATTTTCCCTACCTTTTCTTTCCAATCAAACACAACATAATTGAATGGCATGTGCAAAAGGGAGGGAGGGGGATTGATCAATATAAAATAGTTTGAGAGAAATTATTTCTACCCGAAGCATTAGGGTTGATCAATACTATTTGGTACTCTTATTGTTTCTAGCTGCCCGAAACATTTTAGGTTGGTCAATATAAATTTGTGAGAGAGATGTTTTGATCTAATCAATACAAATTGTTGTTTTTACTTGGAACATCCATTTTGATGTTTCAATTTTCTATATAAGTATATCAAGGTGAAATGTGTATAAAGGAAGGCGTGAGGATGCAAGAAATGGAATATAGCAATAACTTTTGTCTCTTTTGTTTTTCCTTAAAAATTACAAGAATGCCACATGAAGACAAACCCCCTTATGTGATTGATTCGTAAAACCCCTATGTTATTCGAAAATTACATGACTATCATATATAATACAAACTTTCCAACTTGTAATTGCCTCTATGGTATTCAAAAATTACAATACTACTACATATAAGACAAAAATTCCAATTTAATTGATTCTAATGCATTCAAAAATTATAGGAATGCCACATATAAGACAAATCTTCCAATTTAATCAACTCTAAGGCATTCAAAAATTACAGAAATGCCACATATACGACAAATTTACTCTCTTTACAGCAATGCCTCTACGGTATTCGAAAATTACATAAATGCTATATATAATTATTTGCAATTATGCCATCCTACAAAATAAAATGTCATCCATCTTCTATCTTGCTTAATTCTTTCTCTATTTCTCCTCATATTCTTTATCTCAACTTTTATTTATTCATTTATTTTTTTTATTAATGTCTAAGCATTTATTTATTTAATAAAGTATTTTAAATCAATAAAATAAAAGAGATTAAACATTGAGAGAAAAATTTTAATAGACATTTATTTATTTATTTTATTATTGTTAACTAAGCATTTATTTAGTTAATAAAAGTAAATAAATTATTTACAAAATAAGTAAAATAAAGGAGATTTGACATTAAGAGAAAGATTTTAATAGACATTTATTTTACTAAATTATTTATTTATTTAGAAATAATTTACTAACAAATTATTATCTCCCCTTGAGCCCAATATTTAGGTAGGGTTGTCAATGGGCCGGGTCTGACCCGATGGACCCAAACCGATTGGATCGATTCTAGTTCTGGGAACTGGAACTAACAGGTCGATTCTCTATCCTGATATAGGGTCCCAATTACTATTGGTTTAGAATATATATATATATATATATATATATATATATATATATATATATATATATTTAATAAATAAACTATATATATAATATACATATAATATATATTATACATAAATATTTATTTTTTATTTATTATAATCGGGTCTATCAGGTTAGACTCGATTGTCTCGAGAACTTATTGGTTCGATTCCGATCCAAAAATTACAAACCCTATCAGGTTAGGGTCCAAATTTGGGCCCTCAACTTTCCATGTTGGGTTGGTTCCAATTACAACTGGTTCCAACCCAAACTCGATCTATTGGCAGTCCTATATTTAGGTTTAAGCCTAATATTTATGGGGGGGCCATGGCTTCCCTGGGTCCCCTTGGCTCCACCCCTGGGGTTGGGATTAAACCTATTCACAAGTCACATTGGGATGTGACATTTGCCTTTATATCAATCAAACATATTCAAGTCCAAGTTTGAGCATGACTGAACCATAGGACCTAGATCTTGAGCCCAAGCCCAACCCCCATATAAAGCCCGAAGCTCCACCAAGAAATTGAGAAAAAAGATTTGTATTCTTTATTTGACAACAAAATCAATTTATTTATATTAAATTGAATTCAAAAGTTAAAACTTTAATTAATTAATTATTGTTTTATTTTATTAAATCAAATATATTATTATCCATATTTTTATTTATTTAATTCAACATGCACCCAATATTTAGGGTTGTGAGTGGGTTGGGTTTGGTTCTAGATAACTTAGACCATTCATGTCCTAATAATAAATGAATAGTTACTTATTTATTTTATTATAATAAATAAATAATTTTTTTATTTTACAAAATTAAGTAAATTTTTATMCATAGATTTCTATTTATTTAATTTACCAAATTATTCAATTAGTTAATAATTTATTTTACTAACAAATTATTTCTCTTTCTCCCCGAGCCTAATAATTTAGGGCTATCAATAGGTTAGGTTTGCATTGGGTAGGGGTAGAGATAGGAATTTTTCATGAGGGGGGCTAAAATCTATTTGGATTGGGG